ACCTGATTTAGAAAAATGATCAAATGTATAAGAATGTTTTGCATATGGTATTGACTTGTATGTACGGTGTTTTAAACTATACAGCTTTTCTACATTTGTTGTTGGTGACATCGACTGCATTAATGTAACTTTTGTCTAATTTGCTGTAATTCCAATGAACAAATACAAAACTGTACTGTTCACATAATTGCTAAATAATAAATTGTTTTTCCGCTTCACCAAGGGGGCGATCAGTCAAAGCAATTTGTCACAGAAATGTTCCAAATGTGAAGAATCCCGTGTCGGAAACGTCCAATCTTCATTTATCATATTTACCCCCCCCTCCCCCTCTCACCACCACCAGCGACCCCTCGCGGCCTGAACTACACAACGCGAACCCTGTTGAAACAAAGAGCTGTAGGGCTCACATCTGTAGCGATACAAAGAGGTATAAAATCGATAGAGTCGCTGACAAAGAGGAATAAATACAACCGCTCTCTGACCTCCTTCTACCCATTGTGCTGTGGAGAGCCTCGTCCACTCTTCCCCCGTGCTTGGTGAAAATAAAGACTTGGGCTGCTGTTGACTTTGATGTAGGTGCAAATGGGTATTTTGCAGAATATTCTATAACCTCAGTCAATACATCTTCAACTTCTGCAAACAAACTCAGAGATAATAATGTTGATACATACAAAAATATGTAATTCCAATCGGGAACAAACCTGTGATACAAGTTGATTATGTGTTTTGAATTAATTATTGATTAACTTAATCAACAATTAACTTAATCGCCTACTCAGAATCCAACAGTGTTGCCAATTCGTCCTCAAATTAGTGTCCTACTCGCTCTTTACATTGTTGCTGTTAGCGCATCTGCCATTTAGGTTATACAATAATCATTCATTGTTGTCTAAACTATCTACTATATATTAATTCCTTACTAGTGGTCGTCCTGTGGTCGAAACTCGACCAAAAATAATTAATGTACAGACTTCTCTATTTTCTCCCCACACTGTAAATAAAACATGTGATTGGGATTTCTTCCATTTGTTTTGATTTTCTGTTTACATTTTGTTGTTATTTCGTCACCATCATGGCAACCCAGTTGGTCCATGTTAATTTTTTGAAGTTTTCAAATTCGTTTTTTGTGCTTATTTTTTAGCCTATTTTAATTTATAAAGGGATTCTGCACATCTACAGGCAAATATCTTTCTAACAGTATGCGTAGATTTCCCCTGCGATGCACACGAGCTGAGAAAAAAGGTTTTAAAGAAACATGCTTGGCTATTAATATATAGATAGATCCAACGGCCCAACAGTGATGCCAATCCGTCCTCAAATTAGTGTCGTACTCGCTCTTTACATTGTTGCCATTAGCTCATCTGTCATTTGTACAAAAATCATTCATTGTTGTCTAAACTATCTACTATCTATTAACTCCTTATCCAACGTCCCAACAGTGATGCCAATCCGTCCTCAAATTAGTGTCCTACTAGCTCTTTAAGCAGCGGCTACACTTGCCCGATTCGGTCCGGTTCGGTCCGGTCCTAAAAAATGCGGAACAATGCTTCCCATGTTTTTAAATGGAGGTGGCTACACTTACCCGATTCGGTTCGGCACGGTCCGGTTCGGCGCGGAACAATCGTCCAGGGAGCATTCATCCGCATTTTGGCGGAAGCATTCGGGGCGGACCGGACCGAATCGGACAAGTGTAGCCACCTACTCCCGAAATTCGGATGAGGATCGGGGGGTTCCGTGAGCGCTCGGCTATGAAAGTGATGAATTAAATTAGGAAAAACTGTTATTTCTAGGACATATGCCTAAGAATTTAGGCAATAATGTTCATATATTGCCTCGATCATGGAAGACGATAATTATGTCTACACGACCGCGGAAAATAGTCAGAATTTAGTCGCAATATCGGGAGACGATTACAATGTCTACACGGCCGCGACGGATTATAGGAAGTTTACCGCGATTGCACGAAAATACAACCACTTTTTTTTTGTTTTTCATTTTTTTGGCACCCCCCAAAAAAGCCAATTGCCTCGCGCCCTAGGCAAGTGCCTATTCGGTAAATCGGCCCTAGCTAAACACCTTCTTTATTGCTGCACTTGTGCCCCGTGCTCGTGTGTGTCCTCCAAAATATTGTACAAGTTTAGCTACCTCTTCCGGCCGGACCGAAACGATTCGTACAAGTGTAGCCACCCCTCACAAATTCGTGCCGGACCGAACCGAACCGGACCGGACCGAATCGGGCAAGTGTAGCCGCTGCTTTACATTGTTGCCGTTAGCGCATCTAGGTTATACAATAATCATTCATTGTTGTCTAAACTATCTACTATATATTCATTCCTCATCCAATGGCCCAACAGTGTTGCCAAATCGTCCTCAAATTAGTGTCCTACTCGCTCTTTACATTGTTGCCGTTAGCGCATCAGCCATTTAGGTTATACAAAAATGCATTCATTGTTGTCTAAACTATCTACTATCTATTAACTCCTTATCCAACGGCCCAACAGTGTTGCCAATTCGTCCTCAGGTTAGTGTCCTACTAGCTCTTTACATTGTTGCCGTTAGCGCATCTGCCATTTAGGTTATACAAAAATGCATTCATTGTTGTCTAAACTATCTACTAATTCCATTTAACGGCCCTACAGTGTTTCCAAATCATATCTGAAGTCCTGCATACTAAAAAAATCGATGGTATCTATAGTAAATATTGATAGAAAGAGCCGTACAAACTACATAAAATTGAGCGGTTTTTTTCCAAACGAAATTAGTTCCACATGTTATTAATTTAAACCACTTGTGCTAATTTTGTTGATGGACTATAAAACTTTCTAAAACTAACTTTAATTTTTGTTAGTGCACTCAAGAGTTCCAAAAATCTAGATGGGATCAGAATGGTGTTGAATATGATTGATTATCAACGTGCTTTATTATTATATACCAATTTTATATTATATCTCTTAATTATTATGTCCTTTTGTAGTATGCGCGTAAGTTTTGGTATAAAATAAGACATTGACAGTGTTCTGAAGTCTTACGATGCCGAATATGAATAGTGGAAAATGTAAATGTGTGCCTTTGTTCATGCTGAAAATTAAGCTGTTTTTTTTTTTCAAAATCATTTGTCAAACACAAAACAAACCCCAAATTAAGCACATCAATAGTCCTGATTCAGTTGCTAAATTATGTTTTCGATAGCCACAGACAATAGATTTGGCTTAGATTCAAAGCCTGGTTGGACTTTCTGTGGCTCTTATCGTGTGTGATGTATTCAACCATCGTGTTTTAGATATTATACAAAGACTAGGTCCCACTCTAGCCCTAGTCTAGCCCCTCGAAGATGCTGTGGTTATAGTTTTATCCTTGAACTCCCCCCCCCCCTCCGAGCACAACAAGTTTTTGTGTCCGTTCGTGGGCTGAAGATTAATTGGACATGATGAGCCAGTCCCTTGCTGTATCAAAACGCTACCGAGTTTAAATGGTTCTTCATCCTCATTTGAATTCAAATCTCCTCAACCCATTTGGTGTGGTTATTGTTTATTGTTTCGTTAGCTTGAGGCGATTTTACACTGTAATGAAAAGTGGATGGATTTGTACCTAAGTAGATGTAATAGAAAGATATTCATAAGTTTTGTACGATTTATGAAAATGTATTACTTTGAAGTATTACATATCGTCTTTATTAGGAAATCTTTTTCTTTAGCAATTAGAAATAACTGATCAAAAGCGGTTGTTTGCGAATAAAAAGGTTTGTGCTTGTTGGTCGATGTTTCGCACACGAATAATGTTACAGTAGCCCTACACGTGAACAATATCAAATAGCCTATAATAAATATAAATATATATATATACATATATAAAAATTGGAACGAATGGTGTTTTTGGCCCTGGGACATCAAAATGAAAAGTAAATCGGTCTCGGACCTAGGTCTTACCATGCCAGCTACGGTAATAGCTAAAAAAAAAAAAAAAAACGCTTTAGGGAAATTCGCTAAAATTCTACAGTTTTGAACGGATCATTTCTGATTATAGTGTATTTGATACAGTGTATCAATAACAGTTAACCGTTTTTGAACAAAGGACTTAGTAATTAAAATTTTAAAGACTTTTCTGACCAAATGCTTCACAGTTTTCTTAAATTAGAAATGTTATGGTACTGGTGTCAGCAATGGGGTTAGTGAGTTTAAATATGTGTAAATAATTCCCTATAGTTCCAAACGAAATTAGTTCCACATGTTATTAATTTAAACCACTTGTGCTAATTTTTATTCACAGTACCTATATAAAACCGTTATCAGAAAGTGCCAACCTTTAAAGCTTCGTAAAATTGGAGTGCTCACATAAATAATACAAAGTAGGTAATAAAAACCAATAAAACACTTTACATAGCCTACTAGAATTAAATTACCAGCGTAGCCTATTCAGCTCGACCATGTGTGCTAATTTTTGTTTTTACAAAATTTGTTTCTAAAGAGAAAGTAAATACAAAATTACCTAAATATGAAGTAGGTCTACGCAAGTGTTCTACTAAAATATTTAATCTATGTAAAGACATTATTAGCCTTTCCAGCTAAATCACGTTCGTTGCCGATCACTAGCAATAATTGCGCATTCTCAGATCAGATTGATTAGTAAATAATTAATCCTTGTATTCCAGCGCGAGCGATTCCTTTGTTCCGAGCGTCGCGTCGCTCGCTTTCGTCGTCTCTAGAGCGGTCCGTTTTTCAAAAACTGACAAAACTGAATGGACAATTTGCTGCCTTTATGACTCATAAGTTCTAGCCAAGCTAGCGTAGATTTTTTATTTTATTTTAGCCTGTAATTATTTTCGTGTGGAAAATGACACAACAGTGTTGGTTGGTGTTCAGTTCAGTAGCGAAGCGGCCCGGCTGATTCTGTTGCTAGGCGAGCAGCTGACCTACCTAGGCTGTGTGAGAGGAGCGCTGCCATTGGCGGAGCGGCGGCCAATCACAGAGCGGCTTCTACAATCAGCTGTTCGGGTCAGACCGTTCATTGTTCCGCTGTCAGTCGGGCTCTGAACGTCGTATCGGTTGGTTCAAACAAACGATGCCGGTCGACGTTTAACTTCGTCTCCCAAGTGCCGCAATTCCATAGATCTGGCCCCGAAGCACCGCGTTTTGCACGGTTTTCGCAAATTCTCGAAAACCATGATGAAAGATATCGAACACTTTCTAGAAGATTCACCCCACCGCGATATAAAATTGAACGAAGTTTTTAACAAAATCACGGACATTTTACAACAACAGACCGTAGTAACGCCGGCGAAACAAAAAATGTCGTGTGATGTTATTGAAACAATAATGCCAGAAAGGAGCAGTGTGCCCATCAACCAAGGTAGGTTGTACGAGAATAAATGAAACTAATCTTAGATGTACCCTGTCATATCCTAACCTCCTTAGAACGATGCTTACATTAGGTTTAAATTGACACAACAAACACATTTTAAACCTAACCTAAAGATTGATGTTGAAGTACTTGAAGTGGGTTGTTCTTCAGTTAAGTTAGAGTAGCTTCTTCGAGGCTGTTTAAGGTAATAAAGAGTATCATTTCGTTACCATTACATATCTGCAAAGGCCGAAATAATGTTATCCTACAGTTTTTCTATTATGTCAACTAGGAAAGCTATATCTACGATTTCCACTTGTTACAGCCATTATCTTCACTATCTTATAACTTTCTCGAAATTACTAATGTATACTACTAAAACTACCCTTCTACCCAATTTATTTCTAAACACCCCCAACAAAGCCAACCCTGACCACCTCAAACAAAGAAAACTCTTATACCGGTGCACCTACGGGACCAACACTTTGGGATGCTCCGGCATTTTAGGCAAAACTCGTTATCTTGTTAGGAAATAAGCCGATATAATATAATTAATTAGCAAAATCGATGAACGAGATCGAAAATAGAAAGGTGAATGGACAAAGGAAAGTAAGGCATGCGCAGAGGGTGGTGTTTTAACGATTTTCCCTTCCAGCTGAGAGGCAAAGTCACTGTCAAGGCTGCACTCCATCCCCTATACCGGGCATCTGTTTATAATAACCCCAGGTCTACATTAATTGTCAGCTGCCACCCCTACAGCAACCACCCCAACAGATGTGGAATGTTACAGTCAACGGAGAGCGATATTGATCGTGAATTTAGCGGGAAAATTAATTTCCTATTTCGGTAGACAAAGAAAAACATATTCAAGCGGTTGTTTAAGAGTTTTACCCTATTTTCTCAAACTCAATGAGGGTCTAGTAGTGTAAATATTTTGTAGCCTCATATCGAATTTTAATATAGCAATTCAAATTAATATTAATCGTGCCATATAAAATGATAATAACCCAAACCCTTGAATTTATGCTAGTAATTCGCAGTAGAATGGTCCTAGTAGTAATGATGATGCTAATAACTAGCACCTAATATATTTACTTAGTGTTACTATCACTATTTTTCATCAAAATTTAACCATCGATATTTTTTAGCTCAAAACACGTCTAGAGAGTTCAAAATACGCTTGCTCAACTTGGAAACTGCCTACTTTAACTGTATTGCAACCCTGCGAGCAAATAGAATATGGCACATGCATTTACAATGAAATCTATAAAAAGTATACAACATGTTATACAGTAAACTAACAGCTAATTAAATACAGTTTTTCAAGTACTGTAGTTGAATCACATTAGATCCTCGCATCATACACCAAGGGAACCAGATTTATGTTCTAGTTTATAAGGATACAATTCGTGTGTAATCTATTCTTTTCGAATATCGAATCAATTTCAGAATTTTAAACCCTGTAATTAATGTGTGTTTTAATATCAATAGCCTACTATTTTTTAAATAAAATTTTTACCACTTCTCAAAATCATTAAAACAATTATTCCAGTAAATAGCCTTGCATTTGGAAACTATAATTAAGTTGCATAGTCAACGGTTGTATTTAAGTGAGATTCAAACAATCAATAACTTAAGTTGGTCCCATTCCAAAAGGGCGCCGTCGTAATCGTAGTGCGAGGTATTATCTACTTGAGCTCCACAGGAAGATCCCAATCGTTCCATTTGGACAAGTTATATTTAGATCCACGCCACCTCTTTGTTTCGCTCCATTATCTTTCCAACCGGGTTTAATTCCTTATAAATCGCCCCTGTGAGACGTGTTATCAAGAGTTTAGTGTGACTACAATCTTTAATTGTTTGTATCCGCAGGTTTTTTTGAAGTGTATGGTGCAGCTAAAATTACCCTTACGTAGGTATCAAATCGAAAATTATATTACTGTACATAATCACGCAAAAAACATAAACAATGGCGGCATAAAGTTTTTTATCGTAATGAAAAAAAAACACCCCATTATTTTAAACACCATATAGCATTTTTTTGCGAATTTCTTATCTAAAAGTAAGCAAGCTATATTTTTGTTAATGTTTGTTGCTCTGTTGCTATGCGCGAATAGTCAACTGAGTACAGAAAATTATTTGACTCTGACGAAAGATTGACCTCTAAAAGTTGGTAGGTGTAGGCCTACAGATAGAGGATCTGGTTTTACAGAGGCAAATTAAACCAGATATCCAAGTTATTGTCGTAGTAGTATATTATTATTTAAGTCGTCCTTTAAAGTATTTTACCAGTTCTCTTATATTTTAGTCTGTGTTAAAAAAGATTTACGATAATGGAATGTTTGTATAAACTGTATTTTCTTACAATTATTGTATTTTTAAAACTCACTCTTACTTTTGTTAAAGCCATCATTGTCAATCATTAACATTATGCATGTAATCTGACTAGCATAATCATTGCTGCGCTGTTTTAGTTGTTAAGAGGGATTAATATGTTTGCGAAAAACTACCCTACCCTACTTTCTTGTCCATTTGTCTTTGACAAAAGATTGATGTCTAAACGTTGGTCCAAACAGATAACCTGATTTCACAAAGACAAATTTGCCAGCTCCCCCATCCAGTCAAGCCCCAAAACTCCCGTTTGCGCAAAAAGTTTCTTTTTTAGAGGACAAAGAACAGCTCGGGTCACACGGTCGCTTTTCACTTCTGTTGGTTTGGTTTGGGGTAACTAACTAAAAGCACCCCACACCCCGCGTCGTTGACAGGGTGGTTAATCATTCATGTAGGATCACTCAATTCTCTGACAACAAAGGTTCTTTCTCTCTCTCTCTCTCTCTCTCTCTCCCCTCTCCCCCCTTCCCCTAGTGCCCCTAGAGCCAACGCCGGCCGGCTTGACAACCGAGCAGCTTGGCACGTAGGCCAGCTCTCGCGTTGGTGGGGGGTGAGGGGAGGTGAGAGGGGAACTAACCGGTATCTTTGTTCCTCAGCTGTTAGCTGTTCTGTTCCTTGCATCAGTTTTTCGCCGACCGCTGCTCAGAACACATGTGTTATTCGTAGGGTTGGTGATCTACTTCAACGGTCGTTGATGTTACGCGAAGTTGGAAGCAGTCTGTGATATCCTTGTGAATTTTATTAGTACAACTACTTTTTAATAGTCGCCATGGAAGTTTTACCGTGTCCAGTCAGCGTAGATTTCTCGAATCACTACGGCAGAGGTAAGGTTTCGGAGTTTTCATTGTTTGTGGATTTACTTAGTGTTAGCTGAAATTTCTTAAGCTACGTTTGTTTTTTCCTTTGAAAATTTTCGCATAATATTACTTTTCGTTAGAAAACATTTAACTTAGTGCATTACTGCAAGTTACCGAACGGACATTAATATCAATTTGTTGGTGTATAAAACTTTGCGACTACGTTGGTTATAGGTAATAGTCAAAACTTCAACTTCGTTGCCTTTGACGTTCTAGCGATAAGTTCTAATTCAATTGTTAGGATAATACCAGATGTCTTGTGCACATCACTTCGTCGTTTCGTTAGTGTACTAGCATTAGCAAATAAAGTGTTAACTTAAAATCTAGTTATTTTTATCACATTCTGCTAATGAAAACGTTGTATTATAGTTTTTAAAAAGTGTATGATATATCCTACACGACTTGTACACCCGATTCTTTTAGCGTTATTCAGTACTGTCGGTAGTTAGGCAACCAGTGTAGGCTGTTCTAGCGATTCACATCCCGGTCCCGGCTTTCACTCGTTGGCCCCGAGCGTCGTCGCCGGCATCACATCTAGTTCGGAGAAATCGTATCCCAAGTCACATTACCTACAGTATAACAAATCAACCTCAACCATGCCTAGCGCTATGCCCAACCGTGATATTCGGGGTAAAACATTGACAAGTTTTAACGACTTCAATTTTCCTATTTGGATTTTATGTTTTAAGACTAACTTAGGCTATTAATTAGGCTAACCTATTACTTTCGTTTTAGAACTGAAATGAAGAATTTAGTTTCTGATCTAAAGCTCAATCATATTAGCCTACATTTAAACATAAATTGAAACTGTTCGATGTCTTCATAAGTTATTATAACTTACAGTTGAGGCTTAACTTATTTCATGTTTTAATTCCTAACTTAAGTTTTCTTTGATGATTCCCTTCCCAAATAAACCTAAACTTAGCTCTAGCCCGAAGCCCGGTTGAAAATGCTCAACTTTTGAAAATGATTGATCTTTTAATAAGAAACTAACTTAGTTAACGTAAGTTAGGTGTTGTAGGTTAGGTGTTGTAGGCTAGTTTTTAATAAATAACTTTAAATCATTTGTTGTCGCGGGCCTATATAAGTTAATTTAAATTTTAATAATTTGGTCATCTCAAAAAGTTGCTCATCCTTTTAAAACGTCTAAGAATTTAAAGAAATTCCCTAATAAAAATGTTCCTCTTAGGCTAGATGATTAAATATGCACTAAACTTAGCCTAAGATTAAGTTAGCCCTACCCTGCTTATGCATGCCTAAACTTAACTTACTCTGTTATGTTGACCCAATAGCCTGGACATTTCAAGTTTGAAAATAAAAAAAATATTCTTAAGTTGAAGCGGTTTTAAGTAGTTTAAATACAATTAAAAATACTGCTAACTTATAACTTAGGCCTACGTGTTACCGATACTAAGTTAACTTACCACTTAGGCTATATTGTACAAAAGTTTAGCTTAGTTATGGTAATAACTGTTTAAACAAAGTGTTTTTGAAAAGCTAGTTAATACCTCTCAGCTCAGTATACTGTAGACATATTCTTAGTTTAAAATTAAATAACTTAAACATTCTCCTCCCTTTGTAGCCTAACTAATTACTGTATTATCTACAAAATATACATACCTACGTTAACTTACGTTAGTGGTAGGCCTAGACCTAAAATTTTACTCATTAAATGTAAATGTCTTAGGCTACTACTTCTGGTAGTCTTTTGCTCTGTGTCCCGTAAAATTTTTACGTAGCCTATATAAAAGTTTTTAATGTAAATCTTTATAATTCCATTAATAATATAGCAAACAGCATACTGTACACTAAAAAATAAAAGATAAAAGGCTAGGCCTAAGTTATAACTTAATACAAATTAAATAAAAGGGGAGATTTTGGTCGAGGCAAGTTAAGTTAGCTAAATTTTATCACCTGACGTTAAATAAAACTTACAAAGGCAGGGAAGATTTAAACTGTTATTTTGATTTTTGTCAGATTGTGTTTACGGTTTTAACGAATATGATTTTTGCTGTTGCAGGGTTCGTATCAGAAGACATAGAGGATAACGCAGCATGCCAAGCACTAGCGTTAAGGCTGGAAGAGCAGCTGCGGGCAGCAAAGACAGCGCAGTTAGCCTGCGGAGAAGTGTTGCTGCCAGCAGACCTGCTGCCCAGAGTAGCCAGGGATGTACTGCGAATGGCGGAGAATGAACCTTGCGGATTGAGGTAGGCATCCACTCTCTGTAGAGTAAACACATTCTTTGGCTCTTTCCGAATTCCAATCCCTTAAATCTTCTATATGATGGTTTCTTAGGTTTTTTATGTGCCCTACATGAAATATTACAAGTGCCCTCCATATATTCTAAACCTTAAAAGAGTCGCTGGTAAATTTTGTTGCACAAGTTTTGTAGCTCTCTTTATCTTTTTTAAGTATGAAGCTGCCTCTAGGATCTTTAAAGCGTTAAAATGGTTGAAAAATGTTGAAAAATATACACATTTTTGTAACTCTGTAACCGTCAACTCTATCAAATTTGTGAAGAAGATTAATTAGAAGAATTTTGGTCTGCCATCTTAGTAAATTTTAAGTGTTAAATTGCCAATTGCCTCTTGTCTTTTGTTAAAATATTTGTTCTCTTCATGATTACCATGACCAAAGTTCCTAATCATATTGTTTGTTCTACAGAGGCTGCACACTGTACGTTAACTTTGAGTCGGAGCAGGAGTGCCGCAAGATCGGGACTGTCAAGTGCGACCCCAACACCGTGTCCACGTTTGAACTGTTCCTCACTCTCCGTAGAGACTCTCGGAGTACTTGGACATCACTCATCCCTCAGTTCATCAAGAACCTGACCAAGGGAGGGACCATCATGATCAGTCCGGGTTTCACTCTGGAGAAGAAGAAGCTGTACCGATCCTTCGTCACGGAGTAGCGGCCACGGCGGCGCGACGAGAGCCAAGACTGACTGGGTGCACCATTCGCATTGTGATCTTCTAATGACTTTAACAAATTCGTGATTTGCGTTCGTGTTGTGAGCTTACAGTGTTGTCATCTACACTCGTCATTTGCAATCGTTTTTAGTCATTATTGATTTAATTAAAGATATATTATAGAGTAACAAATTTTTAACATATTTAAAAAGATATTCAGATGCAAAGTTTATTTTATCGACCGCAGATATTTAGTTGTAGAATAGGTATATTTATGTACATAAAATTACGAATTATTTAGTTATTGTTACTTTTTAAAAGTCTCGATTGTCGAATGTTTCGCGTTTCTTGATAGTACAAGTCGCTCGGCGAACCATATCACCGCAAGCTTCGTTTTACGTAGTTTAGTTTACCTAATAATATCGATATGTGATCTTGTAAATTTAGTGATGAACTATATATATTTTGCATCGATACAAATTAGTATTTTATTATTGTATTGAAGTTATTGTGTTGATTTTAACGACTTCTAAATGTTAGTTGAAGTCTTGTGATCCCGTCTAGGAGGTTTGCAGCTTTAAGAGTTTTTGTCTTTCATGTTGATTGTGGGCTCCAAGTTTGGTACTCGAGTTTCTTACTGCAATAATTTTTAACCCGATGAATTCTCTGTTGCCCAAAAATGGATGTTTCCCTTCAAAGTACTTACTGCACAGCCGACAACCCCTAGGATTTTATGTGATTTTATTACTTGTAGCTTTGTAATTTTATTTTAAAATTTTAATCCTCGTATCTCCTGTTAGAGTAAGGCTCGAGTTGTATGCAATGTTCGTAAAGGTTTTGATCTCAGCATTCCGGATATACCGGTGTCAGTATTCATCCACTCATGTACTCCACATAGTATGTATGTGAACTGTGTGTGTTGATCATTTTTGTACTTTTTGTTATGGAGAATCTACTTTAAAAGAGAAATATTGAAAAAATCAATAAAAAGAATTAACATTCTTTAATACTGTCTTATGATTTACCCGATATCTATGAGCCATGATAACTTTTTGGAGCAGTTTAAGAAATCCTGAGTCACTGTGATTTTACAGTATAATGTGTGACAAATATATTCCTTTAACTACAAAAGTTTTAAAAATTCAATATAATTTTTGAAATGAAAAAAAAAAATAGTTTTCTTATCACAAAAATACTTTTTTTGAATTAAATACAAACAAATGGGCAGAAATGTTTTCATGATTTTGAAAGATTCAATTTGTAGAACAATTATTTGAGGAGAAAGTCATTATGAATCTATCAAGGGCCAAATAGAGTTCAGCAGTCTACAAAATAAGGTTATTGGGTGACTTGATTATAGAATTGTCTAGCAGTGGCAGTACAACAAGAAGAACAGTAGGATTGCTGACTGAAGAAAAATACAGTGTTTTAGAGAAGTGTTGACAAAACATTATTTCAATAAGGTGCCTTAGTTGAACAATAAATGGAGTTTGAGATATTTAAATATGTCATATATGGGAACAAAGACCTTGCCAAGGTTATCTAGAAAATAAGGGCACTATAAAATTAGAGCACCATTGTAATCTTGAAAGAATAGTGAATCATTTGTAATGTAATTGCTGCATTTTAACACATTCACTACCAGGTGATGCAAGACCACTCTTACAGAGGTTTTTATGGAGAAATAAATAAAAATTTAATATGATGAATAGAAACCCTGGTTTCGAAAGAAGACACTATTTTAGTATTTTGAGAGTTTTAACCAATAACAATGTACCATCAAACTTGGTGACCTATTTAATAAAACAATCTGCTTATAGCTTTTAAGACATCAGTGTTATTTATAGAGTAGATTCCAAGCCATCAAAATACATTTGCCTCTTTTTTTGTCACTTTTCAATAGTCTTAAAATGGATACTTTTATGTCTCAGTTCAAATCTCTGGAGGCTGGACAATAGTGCGGTGGACATGTTTAAACATGAAAGTTGAATTTATTTCAATGGCGGGAGGGAGTTGCCATCATCAGCACTCAACGTGTTCGTGTTAACACTAAAATTAAGACTGTATCCGGTAAATACAGCTGGTGTATGTCCTAAAGATATTCTTTAAATCTTTCCTTTTCGACTAAATTTTAATTTTTTTTTGTGGAGAAAGTTCTCTAACGCTGAGTTAATTCTTCTTCCAAAAATTACAATCCTTTTTTTATCTACCCAAGAGTGAGTAAAAACCATTATCAAAGTTACCATTACAGTTGAACCTCTTCTCTATAAGACGAATTTCAAGGGGTACGGGAAAAATTTGTACTATAGAGGTATTATTAATAAAGAGGGTCGTTTTATCGAGGTTTAATGCTGCTGTTATTCTTCTTATAGCGCTCCAAGGTTTCTCCAAACAATAACTGAGGAAGGAGGAGGGATGGGTGGGGGTTTCATGTTGAGATAAGCTCCTGTTTGTTTTGAAAACTACGTACTATGGAGGTTAAGATTATGATAAATTCGTCTTATAGAGGTCACGTTCGTCTTGTAGAGGTTTTGTGCTAAGAATATTCGTTGTATAGAGGTTAATCAGTCCTAGCCCATGTCACAAACGAATTCGTCTTATGGAGGTTGTTAACTTAATTACTACGTTGTATAGAGATGTTTTTAGAATTGACCTATATGAAAGTGTCAAGGGGATTAAAAAAAACATCGTTTTATCGAGGAATTCGTTTTATTGAGGTTCGTACAAACGAGGTTCAACTGTACATGAATTTTTCCTCTAATTGGTCTTTTTTTCGTTGTTGCCTGGACTATTTTTATTCAAAGCACCTTTCAATTTATTTTTACGAAACTTGAAAGCTCGTTTTTTAGTAGACTATGATGGAGGGATATGCTTCAAATGGACTTCAAATCACTGGGTGGTCATGGCAATATCACTTTTTAGCCATTGGCAGGATTTGAACCATTGAACCTATAGACAACAGCCGAAACTTGAAAACCTCTCTCAAAGATAAGTTTTCGAACACCAACATTTTATCTCCACTAGGTAACGATTTTTTTTGTAGGTTGACAGCTAGGATTGACTCGGCGCCTGTTTGGAAGCCAGATCATCAATCTGGTCTAGTCCGTCTTCAAGTGACCATTATTCATATTGTGATTCAAATTGACAGGTCCAGAAATACACTGTCCTTGCTCACATGTGACGGCCCCGTGCTGTGACCCATACACTGGGTTGGTTGCGAATTGGTGGATGAACCTTTGGTTGACAGTATGCACTGCACACCACCAAGTTGAAAGGTTGATGTTGTAGAGGTAAATACTGATTTTTATGTAGTGGGTTTGACTAAATTCTTAAAGGTAGTGGTTTGAGGTTGAGTAAAACTTGTCATCTAAGATCTGTCAATGACTTGTAAAATTATGATTTTGGTTAAAGGCAAAACAGGAGCCAAAATATAACATTTCGCGTAAGTAAAAACAAAATTATTATATTTTAACTTTAGATTAACAACGTGAATTTAGAATTACGGGCGTAAATTGTAGTTTTAAACAATATTTCAAGATTTTTCAATAACTGGAAAGTTTATTGGATGGGATTTTCTTTCGAGTGGGTAAAAAAGTAAAACTTAAATAATTAAAACACTAAATAATTTTATTGGCCACTGGTTCGAATCAATGCGAGATCGTTTCCAGACCCAGATGCCATTTTTTGTCATTGGGCTAACAAAATGGTTGACGTTAGATAGTAACAAGGCCAGGGTTTAACCCGTCCCTTTCAATACGTAAAAATGCCACTGGCGTAATAGTCGAGTAAATATAGGCACTTGAGATAGAACAAATTCCAACAAATGGTTTGTCAACGGTTTTTGGTAGTAATAGGTGTAGAAAGTACCAGGAAAAAAGTCTACCAAAATCGGACAACCGGAAGTCGGGTTTTTCCAAGATGGCCGCCGTGAGGCCCTCAAATCGACAAGATGACTTCAAATTCGTCGATTCATAGTTCCAGGATTGGCCGATTTCCACTAAAATTGGCAAACACATGTAGAACTATATTTCCAACCTTAAATATGAAAACTAGGCAGACAAAGGAACCCAAAGATGAATTTTCAGGGCATTATGTGCTTAAAAAATAAGATATTTTACCTCAAATGTATGTTTTTCCAATATTTTTTACAAAGTTTGTTATAATTTCAAATTTATTTTTTCACCATTAGATTCAACACAAAAAACCTAACAATTTAGTATATTGAATATTTGTTCTGCTTCAATTTGTTACAGAGATATTGAAAATAATAACTTTAGTATATGTTTTCTTGCCGAGATAGCTCAATGTTAATCTTATGGAGAATAAGCGTAAATATTAATATTATTTTTCATTAAACCTATATATATAAGACTTTTTGTTCTGCTTCATATTATCTGTTTTAATATTTTTTTACTAAACATTCCTTTTTTGGCAGTTACCATTGCAGCAAACCTACGTATTCGGTTCCTCAGTTTTAATCATAAAGAGAATAAGCAAAAATACATTTTTTTAATAGTCCGAGAAGTATAGAACATTATCTTAAAGAATTGCAAGAAAGCGTTTTATGATTTTATGTTGTAGTGTTGGGTATGCAGAGTAACATAGTAAAAATTGCCAAAAATCGGTCTACTGGAAAACCCCTAGAATCAAAATTTAATATGACGGATTTTCTCAACATTGGAAAAATTAAAAAAAAATCCACATGCATTTTCTTTGATATTGACTTCAGACCACCACCAATATTTATTTGGTGGTCATTTCTTTATTTCGATAGGGAACGTGTTTTTGGCTGTCATCTTGGATTCGACCATATTGGATATAAATAATTTTTTTAATGTAATGGCAATGTTGTGACACATTATTTTTAACTAGATTTTCACGTCCATTCCATTGCCAAAATGAGTTTTTAAATATCTTTTTTTCTTTTCAAAGATATATTCAAACAAAAATTCTCCCTCAACATTTCTTAAGGACGTATCGTATTTTGAACATTTTTTAAGATTATTTTTTCTTATATCTCCAGTACATATTAACGCTTGCAGTTCGTTCTAGCCATAAACATTTAGTGATGTAAGGGCTTTCATTTGAGCTATTGATCATTAAAATCTGACGAGTTAGAGACTAGTTGCCAACCCCAACAAAATATTAAATTTCACTTTTTAGAAATACATTTTTATTAAAATATTTATATCTCGGGTTCTTAATACGCCACCAAGTTCTTTCTGGTTTCATATTACTCAGTAAATGTTTGTGTTATTTTTTTTAATCACTAAATAAAATGTGACAAATTTAATATGGGTCTTTCTTATTTAACAATAATTTTTTTTCGAGATTTGTCTTTAGTTTAAGACATATACCCATAAATCGAAAAATAACTCCCAATACTCTTTATAATCTTAAAAGATTCATAAAAGTATTGACTTTTACTGTAGTTATGGATTATTTATTGGGAGTTATTAGAATTGGGGATATATGTACTTAACTAAAGACAAATTTCAAATTAAAATAATTTAATATTAAATTAAGGTGCATGACTAATTTTTATTAATTAGTCAGATATTATTTTGTGACTAATAAAATAAAAAACCTAATTCTCTACTGAGTAATTTGAGACCAGAAAGATCTTGGTGACGTATTAAGAACCCGAGATATAGATCATTTAATAAAAACTGATTTATAAAAAGTTAAATTTAATATTTTGTTGGGATTGGTAGCTCGTCTCTAACTCGTCCAATTTTAATGATCAATAGCTCAAATGAAAGCCCTTACATCATTAATTATTTAAGAATGAACTACTAACTGAAGATAAGGAAAATAATCGTAAAAAAATCCAAAGTGCAAAACGTTTAAAACAAAAAAAATGTATTTAAAAACGGATTTCGGCAATGGAATATGCGTGAAAATATAGTTTATATAGTAATAATGTGTCACAACACTGTAGTTACAACAACAAAAAATTATATCCAATAAGGTGGATCCAAAATGGCGGCCAAAATAGTTTCCCA